GGCAGTAGGTCAGGCTCATAATATTTTTTTTTTCACAGTCTCGTGAATTAAAAAAAGGTGGTCAACAAATCGCTTGCTTGAAGATTTAGCAAGGGTTGGTCATCTAACTTCGTTGGGCAAACCAACCCAAAGAAGGATAGTGAATCTCATTACCTCCTGTAAGTGCTTCACCCCTGTTGAAGTGAGAGCTTACATCGCAAAAAATGCAAATATGGATATTTTGGTGTCTACAATTCGCCATATACTTCGTAGCCACAGGTTAGTATCAGGGTAAAAAAAAAAAACCATACCTAAGTGACAGTCATCGAAAAGAACGGCTCGCTTTTGCAAAGAAATACGAGAATTGAACTGTTGAGGATTGGTCCAAAGTAATCTGGTCAGATGAGTCACGGTTTAAAATTTTTGGGTCAGATGGTAAACAATACTATTGGAAGCATCGTGAAAAACCATTAAACCAGTTCTATGTCAAGCCGCCATGAAATATGGTGGCGGTTCAATTATGATTTGGGGATGTTTTTTCACCTGTGGTGTCAGTAGCTATTGTAAAGTCATCAGCATGATGGATGGCGACTTGTATCGGCAGATACTTCGCGAAGACCTGATGTGGACAATCAGAGAACAAGAATTTGATGTTAGGGAGGTAACTTTCTAACAAGATGGAGCATCTTGTCATAAGACAACCTTGACGAAACGTTTGCTTAGGAAGAACAAGGTGAAGTACTTTGATTGGCCCTCCCAATCTCCCGACCTGAACCCGATCGAAAACCTGTGGGATGAAATTGACCGTCGGTTGAGGCATTTCCCTAGACAAATTTCAGTGAGACGGATCTTTGGCAAAAAAATTCATGAGGTCTGGCAGGCAATTGATGTTGAAACCTGCAGAAGGCTGGTTCGTTCGATGCCAGACCGAATTCATGCTGTAATTAGGGCTCGGGGTGGGTACACCCGATGGTGAAGGTGGATAATTTTTAAATAGAAAAAAAAAATTTTATTTTTTTTTGTAAAAAAAAATTTTTTTAGTTTACAGCCGTGTTGCTGCAAAAACGAGCAAAAGTAATGCAACACGGCATTTGAAATAAAGCTCGTGCCCGTGAAAAATTTTGTTCATTGAATTTTTTTCTTTTTTTTATTGATGAAAACGTTGGTATTGGTGAATAAAATAAAAAAAAAAACTACCCGATATGGCCGGAATTGCGGGAGGTAGTATGATCTAAGTAAATTTTTTTTTTTTGTTGCACTACTTATGATCGCCAGTGTACGTAACATATCTTTATTTAATTAATATAATATATGTACTGGTTATTAGATAATTAGATAACTGGTTTTATTACACGGCTCCTCTAATTGTTCACCCATGACTTTTTTTACTGATATTTTCACGGTTGATATTTTCACGGCTGATATTTTCATAGCGAACTTTCTTTTTTGTCGGTTTTCTTAGATTGTATTATGGTTGTTCGTAAATTATCCTTAAAGAATATAACCAAGAAAGAGATTTTAAAAGAAAGAATTTTATTTTGCATGAAGAAAAGCCGTGAAAATCTTATGAAAAATAATAGGTATAAAGTCATGGGTGTTAGGATCCGTGTAATAAATCAGTTATTACACGTATTTGTCGTCGACATCATGAAACATCCCGAATCAGTATGATAAAACGTGAAATAACTATTACATATACTTGAATACAACATATGGGGGTGTCAATAGAAACCAAGCAAATTGTTTTAGTAAAAATTTTTTTAAACTTTAAATTAAAATATCTCAACAACTAATAAATTAAACTTGATAAAAAATTTTTTTATTTTTAATTCTGACTATAGAATTAAACAAAAATAAATTTTATCAAGTTTGATTTAATCGTTGTCAAGATATTTTAATTCAAAGTTTAAAAAAAATTTACTTGGAAATAATTTGCTTGGTTTCTATTAATACCCCCATATGTGGCAAAATCATGCAATCTATGTAGCTTATACATAGTTTTTTATTATATAGAAACAATTTAGCTGATAATAGATATATATTGTGATATCAAAAACCGATTAATTATTTTACTTGAGCTTTGCATTTATTGACAGTTTAACACATTACCTTTAGTAAGGCTGCCAACTCTCACCGTCGATACTTTACAAGGCCACATTGTTTAAAATAATTAACATTGAAAATATAAATATATCACACGACTCAATTTATTTAAGACGACTCAATTTATTTAAGAGAAAACATTTATATAATAATTATATACTTCTTAGATAACAACTTAAATATTAAAAATCAAAAATTCTATATAAATCTGCAGTTTATGAATAAGAAAAACGATACAATACAATGTGTACATGCATATTTTTACATTAAATTTAATGATAATAAAATAAATATTATATATATATATACTAATATATTACTTTTTTTTGTTTTCGGTTTTTAACTCTTTACTCGATTCATTACTAGCTGTATGTTGCTGATAACCTTCCTGTTGCCCATCATTAGACACATATATATGCTGTGGTTGTTCATTTTCAACACCTTCGGGTATGACTTCAAAATTAGGTCTAATTGGAGAATAATTCACTGAAGAATAGCTTCCTCGAGAATAACCCTCTTGAGGATAACCTCCTGGATATTGGGGAAATATGACCGGTTGCTGAGGTATTGGATATACTGGCTGAAATTGTTGTGGGTATATTTGTGGTTGAAGTGGTACCGCATATATTGGTTGAAATTGTGGGAATTGTAATGGATCCACAGGGGGGAATTGCTGTGAGTCCGGCTGTTGATATTGTGGCGGTTGCATTGGGAATTGTGGTACTGGTTGAAATTGTAGTGGGTTCATTTGTTGGTATTGCGGTGGACCTAACTGCTGGTATTGCTGTGGATCTACCTGCCGGTATTGCTGTGGGTCTACCTGTTGGTATTGCTGTGGGTCTACCTGCTGGTATTGCTGTGGGTCTACCTGCTGGTATTGCTGTGGGTCTACCTGCTGGTATTGCTGTGGATCTACCTGCTGGTACTGCTGTGAATCTATTTGCTGGATTCGTTGTTGGTTTGCTTTCTGGATTCGCTGTGGATCTATTTGTTGGAATTGCCGTGAGTCTTCTTGTTGAGATTGAGAATCTACTTGTGATTGTCGAGAATTTGTTCGTGATGGTTGAGAATCTGTTTGCGATTGTTGAGAATCTACTTGTAATTGTTGTGGTTGGAATCGTACTTGTCGAGGACTTATGGGTCGAGGTTGTGATTGTGATGCAGAAATGGTGGTATTACTTGTAGTAGACACTCGCTTTGGAGAGCTTATAGTAGGTTCAATAGACCAACCAGGACTTATAGGAAGTTGATTTGTCTGATCACTGTTTGACGTATGATCTGGTGCACTTTCAGTTGTCACAGTAACGGTTATTGGATTTAAGTCCATACCACTGATTTTTCTTCTATAACGTTGATAATAAAGGAAAAAAAGAAGCAAAAGGCCCAGTCCAAAAAAGACAGAACCAACGACTATACCAATAAGTGCTGGCATACTAAGACCACCTGGACCTGCTTCATCTGTGGTTGTTTTACTTGTTGTTGTTGAATCATCTTCCAGCAAAACGTTGGGCATTTCTTTTAAAAAAAGTTATTGTTATTTATACATTTAAAAAAAGTTAGTGTTATTTATACATTTAAAAAAAATTATACAAACTACAAAAAAAAAAAACAATACAATACAGTATAATAATCACTTACTTGGAGTATATGATGTAATCCATTTGTAAGCCATTGTGTCAAACAAATAAATAACGTGATTTTTATTATTCACAGCAGTGGTATTTTTTCCTATAAATAATAAAAAGTTAAATATTAGCTCTCTTCATAAAGTTTTTATAATTATTAATAATTAAATAATACTAATTTAATTTATTCAAGATTCTATAAAACTTGTACGTATAATCCATTTGATTATTGTTATGGATCAATTCAGTATAGACCAAAGCAAAACAAATTTCTTAGGCTATTCAAAATTAATTATAAGATTAAATCCATAATAATGATAGATTTCAAATAACTTTGAAGGAAATTTTTTCTTTTTAAAAAAGATTTCGATACGAAATTGAGCCAATGCAACTTAATATAAAAAACGTTCATTTATTTCGAAAGAATCTAAGCATAAAGATAGAATTACAGAAAATGGAATATTATTTACCAAATGATATAATCATATAGTAATTCATCATTACTGCAGTATGAGCTGCAAGAGGTGGTGCGGCATTATCCGGTGGAATATTTGGTATGATCCATTTAAATGAGGTTGGCGTAATATCAAGCATTGCAAGATCCGGTGAAACTCTAGGATCTGAAGGATTATCACTCATTCCACCATAAATAATGATCCTCTTGTGATGATCTATAGAGAATGAATCGCTTAAATATATTTTAAATCTAATGCAGATAACTACATGCATATATAATGTATAGTTACCAAGTACAGCAGTATGAAAGATACGAGAATCAATGTTAGCACCAGTGGCAATCTAAGTAATTATAGAGTTTTGTTAACAAATATTGATATGAGTTGAAACCACAAAGAATAGAAAGATTACATTAAGTGACCATATTCCAGAATTCATATCGTATGTCCAAATCTGTAAATGTTGAAAGTATAGTAAATTGATTTACGCGTAAAGTTTTTATGTTTAAATTTTTTAGGCAAGTATAAATACATACTTTATTCATATCTGCAAGCTTGGCAGTACCATCACTATGAATTTCTTTCCCACCGATCAAAATGAGTATTTCATTATGTATTGTCAATGTATGGCCAGCTCTTTTTGTAGGGGCAGATGAAAAATTTTTCATATCCCAAGTTAAATGAATAGTATCTAAGACAATAAAGTTATTAAAATAGATAGATTCGGATGAACCAGTTGTTGCATCAGATAGTCCACCAAATATATAAATTTTTTCATCATCAGGATTTACAATGGAAGTTATTTCTTTACGCCTTTGTGGAGAATGGCCAGAAATCTTTGGAGAAGACCAAATTTGGTCAATTGCATCAAAAGTATAAACTAGCGAATTACTGATTTTATCATTTGAATCGAACATTAAACCACCAATTAAAAATATTATATTATTATTGGATCCACCCAATGAAGCACTACACCATGAATTATTAACTGGGGCAGGTGAAGTTGTAGAAAGATCCGTCCATTGTGGAGAAGAAGTATCAAAAGGAACAGATAAATCGAGAAAAAATAATTCTTTTGAAACGCCAGCACCGTTTTGCAATTCACCGCCAATAAAATATAATTTTGAATTAACTAAAACGCTGGTGTGGGCAAATCTAGCCGAAGGTGTAGAAGTAGCGTTGGCTATGAATAATCTTGACGTTAAAAGAATTAACAAAAACATATACATGGGAATCATAATTGACAGAAGTTTAAACCTAGTCAATCATTCACATATACTTATGGACTTCTTCTTATTTACATAGCTTTTTTTTCCGACAACTTGGAATGAAAACTAGTAAACGGCAGTGAGTGTTGCATATAATGTGTGTATATATACATATCCATATATATAGGTGCTACTGAAGAAAATATTTTCAGATCTTTCTCTTTTGGTAAATTCTGTCTTAAAATAAAAAATCAAATTTAGAATAAGTAATTGCTACCATAAGCCGACAATTTGCTAATTAAAATCTAGTGCTACAATTTTTGAACCATATGATGCATCTGTGGTGTTGTTAGTAAACTTACTGTCATATTTGCATCATCAAAGTAATACTATACGTATACATAGTACCTATAAACCTTAACATCAAAGTTATACCACATCGAAACTACGTATAAACTGCACTTCTGACTGTAAGTACAAAAGTGTACTAATAATAGTTTTAATTTCTATTTTTTTTATGCTATCATTTTCTATCGTTATACATATTTGATTTAAAATTTTGGCGTTCACACCTTATGCGTCCTTCGTTCGTGTAATTAACACCTTTTAAAACAATAGCTTCAGGGGTAACATGTATGAAACCTTACAGACGATTTCACTAATTTTTTTTCTAAAATCCACGGATTGACGTATAAAAAGTTTCATTGGTCAATAATTGATGTCATGGTTATATAAATGCTATGTTTTTATCGATACTGACCAATTGCATACGGTCTAATTGCATATACACTCTTAAATGCATAAAAAAAATTGTTTTTAATTATTAACACAAAAATGGTTTTTATAACTACATGCATAGAAAGTCTAACGGAATGGTATGCAATTAGACAGTTTCGACTGTATATCCATATATAGTATTATTAAATCAGCCCAATTATTGGTTCAAATCTGATGAACTTTTTTTTTGGCTTTTCATTCAACTTTGTTACCACATTTCACAACTCGATAGTTGTTACGTATCTAATATAGATTTAGAAAGGATTAACAATCCTTTTGTTATAACATTTGTGATTATCAAACCATCTGTCCGGTAAAGAATCCTTATTTACGTACTATATCGACTATATCTACATGGGATTGTTTTATTTGTTTTTTTTTTTGTGTCGGACATGGGTTGTCTGTTTTGTTAAAAAATCTTTTTTTAATAATTATTACTATTACAGTTATGATTTCGATTATATAACAAGTCTTGGCATGGTTGACCAAATTTGGACATTATATACATATAGAATTTTACATATATCTGTGCCAAATGAAATTTTATTGGATATAGTCGAAATGCAAACCTGCATAACAATAATTACCAACATTACCAACATATTATATTCAGTGTTGTCAGCAACAGGTGAATAGAACAATAGAGCGATAGAATAGAGCGATAGAATAGAGCAATAGAATTTAGAATAATAAAATTTTTATCAATAGAACAAAAAATTGACATCTAGATTATAATTAATTTTAATATAGCAAAAAAACTAATAGAACAATAGAATAGAACAATAGAATTTAGAACAGAATATGATTTTTATCAATAGAAAAAAAATTGACAACATTGATTATATTATATCTAGTGTTGGCAAATAGAATAATAGAACAAAAGCTCGATTTTTTGTCTTTATATAAAAATTTTTTATTAATAATTTGCAATTATTTAAACATATATTGTTAGAGCATTAGTAAAATAATAATTTTATATTTAATTAGTAAAATTTAATACTCAAAATTTAAATAGAAAAATAAAAAAAATGAATAGAATTATAAGCCAATAGAAAAAACATAAACGTGACAACCCTGAATTATATCGTACAAAAACGCGAGCACGAGAACATTCTTTAATAATTTGCTCAAGTATATCATATCAAAAAAAATATTTGTGGGCAAGTACTTGACAATATTCAATCTGGACTTCATTTTATAAAAATTTAGGTTGTATTACTATTTCCGAATAGGAAAATAGGAATTAATTAACAATTAATATTATCTTCGGCATCATTGACTAGCATAAATTCGGTTCAAGACGAAAATCTCTATTTCGCTCTTCTGTATAAAAAATCATGGAAAAATCAGGAATTATCATTACTATGAAGTTAAATATATATAACTTTTTGCCTTTCTCTAGATAGTAATAATAAAATCGAATCGTAATTAATAACCTCATCTCCTATAACCTGATATACTCTTATTACATGAATAAACGGGTCTCTATCGTTTTCTCGACAACCACTTTCCCGACAAACAAATCCCGACAAAAATTGACCAGAACTAACACTAACCCTAATCTAATACGGGCTAATTGGTCGGGAAAGTGGTTGTCGGGAAAATAGTAAGATCCGGAATAAATGAACACCGATTTTCCTAACCATATAAATACAGTGTCCGACAGATAAGACAGCAAACACCAAAAGTGTTTCGCGGAAGAATAAATGTCCTACAGAAAAAGACTATCTTGTTAAACCTCAAGTATAGTGACATCATTAATGCTTTTTTTAATGCAAATTACAAAACTTATAGTTGTCAACTTAGTTGCCGATTAGTTGCAACTATTTGTCACATGTTTTAATAAATTTGATTGGTCAAATAAATAATCACATGTTCGTTTAATCGCATGTTTGTTGTATCAATTTGATTGGCTAAAGAAATTTAAGATTTATTATGTAGATAATCCATCAACGATTAGTTGATTATTCCAACCGATTATTCAACTAGTTGGTTTTTCAACCAACGATTTGGATCATTATGTCACTATACTTATGATTCTTTTTTTATCATCGGGACATTGTAATTATGCATACGAATGCATCAGTAAATTAAAGTTGATGCATGAACACATATGGTTTGATCTCTTTTATTTCTATAGGTGCCCATTAGTAAAATATATTATTAATCAATTGATTTAGAGCAGTGTCACTAATGTTAAGAGATCCCTCTTTATCCCTTAAACCGTCCGGGTTTAGCGGGCAAATTTGCCCGCTAAAATAATTGGTGAAAAGATAAACCTTAAGTAAAATTTTTTTATTGGAAGACAAACTAAAA